ATGTCCTACAGTACCCTTCAAATACCTGAAAATCCACTTGACTACTTCCCAATGTTGTCTTCTTGGTTTAGACATGTATTTGCAGACTTGAGTAACAACATGAGATAAATCAGGACTAGTACATATCATTGCATACATCAAGCAGCCAACTGCACAAGCATATGAAACATTGCTTGTGTCTTCGATTTTTGTATCTTTCTTAAGACACTGTTCTGAAGAAAGCTTAAAATAATTTGACAATGGAGTGCTCACAGGCTTTGCTTTGCTCAACTCAAACTTGTCCAACACTTTCTCAACACATCCTTGTTGAGATAAACATAATTGTCTAGAGCATCTATCTCGATGAATCTTTATTCCAAGAATCTTCTTCGTAGGATCCAAGTCTTTCATGTCAAATTCCTGACTCAATAAAACTTTCAAACCATGGACATCATTCATATTATTTGCAGCAATCAGTATAATATCAACATACAGTAACAAAAAAATAATAGAATTATCATCAAGACTCTTCACATAAACACAACAATTATACTCACATCGCTTGTAGCCAATCTAAATCTTGTAGGAGTTAAACTATTTGTACCATTGTCTTGGAGACTGTTTCAACCCATACAACGATTTCCTTAATTTGCAAACCAGATGCTTCTGTCTAGGTTGAGTGCACCCTTCTGGCTGCTCATGAAAATTTGCTCCTCCAAATCACCATGTAAGAAAGCAATTTTAACATCTATCTGCTCCAAATGTAAGTCTTAAATAAATACTAATGCAAGCACTGTCCTGATTGAAGTATGTCTGATCACAGGAGAAAAGATTTCATCATAATCTATCACCTTCAGCTATGAAAATCCCTTTACTAAGTTGAGCCTTAAACTTTTCCCCCTTTTTTTTGATACTGCTGGTTTCCTTTTGTATACCCACTTTCACCCAATAACATTCTTTTCCTCATAAAACTAAACTAGCTCCCATGTGTGATTTTTCTGCAAAGACTCCATCTCCTAAACCATTGCACCCATTCATTTCTCTTTCTCCTGGTTGGTGATAGCTCTTTGAAAAGTTGTTGGATCATCGCTATTGATGAGAAGTGCACAAGAGACTAAGTCTTCATAACTTAATCTGCTAAGAGGTCTTATATTGGTGCGACTCTGTCTGTCTCTATCTAGATTATGATTATGCAGATCATCTGGAATGGAATCACCAGGTATTGGATTTGAACCTTCAACTCTCTCAGTTGTTTCTGGATGTTGTTCTAAATCCATCTGCAATGCATTTAAATTGAAATTGTTCCCTTATACATTGTCTTGATTTTGTTGCAACATGGACTGCTCATCAAAAATTACATCTCTGCTGATCATCATCTTCTTTGCGATTGGATCACAAAACTTGTATCGTTTCACATCTTTCTTTTTAAGCCAAAAAGATGCACTTCTTGGATTTTGCATCAAATTTTGATCTTTTATCTCAAGGTACATGCACATAAGCAGGACAACCAAAAATTCATATATGAACGAAATTAACTGGATTATCTATCCATACCTCTTCTGCAACCTTGTCACCTAACGATTCCCAAGGTGATCTATTGATGAGATAATATGTCATATTCACAGCCTCTGCCCAGAAATTCTTAGGAAGTCTTGCATTAAGTCTCAAGCATCTTGCTCTTTCAATTAAGGATCTGTTCATCATTTCTGCCACACTATTCTGTTGTGGTGTCTTCCGCATTGAAAAAGTCTCTGAATCCTATGCTCCTCACAAAACTTCTGAAACTACAAATCTGTGTACTCTGTGTCATTATCAAATCTCAAATATTTGATCTTTCTGTCAGTTTGGTTCTCCACCTCAGCTTTTCACAGCTTGAATTTAGAGAATACTTCATAATTCTACTTCAAAAAATACACCCAATTTTTCCTGGAGAAATCATTAATAAATGTAACAAAATACTAGGATCCTCCCAATGACGATTCCCTGTCAGGGCCCCATACATCAGAATGCATATAATCAAGAATTCATTCAGTTTTGTGATTTCCAATCATAAAACTGACTCTAGTCTGTTTTCCAAGAACACAGAAGTTACAAAGATCGAGCTTGCAGCTTTTAACACAATGCAACAGGTTTCTTCTATGCAATTTCATCATCTCACGTTCACTAAGATGACCCAGACGCATATGTCATAACTTTGTATTATCATCATCTGACTCCACAGAATGGACTCCACCTACAATTTTACTCCCCAACAGTTGTAGATATTACCTGCAGTTAACTTCTCTTTCATCTCATTCAGTGCACCCTTAACAATTCTGATGGTTTCTCTATCCTCATCTGCCTTAGGAATAAAATCATTTCTATGCAAAGTGCCCATGTAAATCAAATTCATCTTCAGATCTAAAATATGTTTGACATCATATAATGTTCTAACAGTGTCATCATACATCTGAATTCTGACTCCATCAATACCAACAATATTGCAATATCTATCATCACCTAAATAAACTGAGTCATAATTAGTTAACCAGTATGAAGTAAGTCACTCCCTGTTATGTGTTAGTGATAAGAGTATCCTGATTCAAGAATCCATGCATCCATAAACTGAGTTGATGAAACTGAAAGAATATCACCATCACTGCAATCTGAATTGCCATTCTGCACCACATTTACAGAATTCGATAATGCATCACGTTTCTCCTCAGTTTGCTTCTTCAGCTTTGGACAATCTCTTTGCACTTGTAGCAATGAATTGTCTTTTTGCCTTTAGACTTTGATCTGGAATTTAGCATTCGAAAACCTTCATTCTCTTTCTTACTTCCATGGTCCTGATTACCCTTAACATATAAATTGTCGGCATGAGAGTTTTCCTCAGCATTTTACTTCCGTTGGTTGTGAGCCAACAATTGCTGTAATCTAATCAACTCTAATGGTTTCTTTCCCATATGTCAGAGTAGTCACCAAGTGTTCATAAAAAAAAAGACAATGAACACAACAAAATCATTGTTTGGTTTTCATCCTCATTACTCACATCAAGCCGTGATAAATTTGTGATTATTTGATTGAAGTCATTCACGTGCTATGTCAGATCAGAACCTTCTTGCATCTTCAGCTCATACAACTTTTACTTCAGATACAATTTATTCGTCAGAGATTTGGACATAAATTGAATTTCCAATTTCTTTTATATCTCCCATGGAGATTTTAGATTCATCACGTGATACATAACCTCATATGTCTGACACAAGCGTATGGTTGATACTGCTTGTTGTTGCAATTCTTCTCAATCTTCATCCTCCATGACATCTGGTTTCGTTGCCTGCAAAGCTTTCAAGATTTCCTGTTGCGCCAATAGATCTTTTACCGTTGTTTGCCACAATCTGAAGTTATCAGTTCCATTGAACTTCACCACCTAGAATTTTGCACCAGAAATTGTCATTTAAAATTGATCCTGCAGCAAACTCTTCTGCAAATTCCTCTGTAATTCTTTGCTCAGAATCTTTCCAAAAAAATGATTGAAATGTTCTCTTAATTAAGTTTCCTTAATTAAGTTCCTCAGAAAAGCAACAAAATCTTTCTGAAAAAGGATTGAAATATTATCTTAATTAAGTTTCATTAATTGAGTTTCCCTTTATTAAATTTCTAAAAAAACAACAGAAACTTTCCGAAAAAGAATTGAAATATTCTCTTAATTAAGTTTCCTTTAATTAAGTTTCCCTTAAAAATAATTTTAAGAAAATTTCTTTTCCTGATATTTCCTTTTCCGCTTTTGTCCGCGTGCAGCAACAGAAACTTCCTTTTCCACGACAATTTTCTGAAAGAGAATATTCCCTTCCAATTCTGCTCACGCGCTCTGCCTTCCGACTGCCTATCACGTCGAACGGAGCGCTGCCCGAACCGCTTCTGCCTCCGCCTGATCTTGCGATCTCCTGCGTCGCGAACTCATGTGTCGCGAACGGAATAACCTCTGCGGAATTCCTCGACTCCTCGAAGCCGAAATCCTCACAACCTCCAAATTTGTCTATTCACAACCTCCTCTGTGAACTTTGCCTTCTCGTTTGTTCGCACGAGGAAGCCCTGTAGCAGAACTGTGATTCGCCTTTCTGTGTCGCGAACGCCAGCCGAACTTCCTCTGCGTCACCGTCAAACTGCTCGCAATCGAAGCCCCTTTGCGAACTCCTCCCGTCTGCCGCGAATCTCTATGTGTCCCAAATCTGAGATGCCAGAATTCGCCTCTCTATCACGATCCAAACCGCCGAACTCCTTGCCTCGACCGAATTCACCGAAGCCACAAAAAAACTCCGAAGCTTTTGCCGCTGAACCATAGCCGTTGATCTCCCCTGTCAAATATTCCTCCTATGCGTCGATATTTTTCTTCCCTGCCCTAGAATATCTCTCTGATACCACATGTGAGAAATTAGGGCGAAGAAAAATAAGAATAGACACAAATCCATAAAAAAACACATAGAGATTTAATAAGTTTTGACAAAGATGTCTACGTCCTCGGGAGCAAAGCGGCGATTTTTCTTCAATTCAGAAAAAAGTACAGAATACAACATTACACTTATGATTACAAATATGCATATATATATATATATATATATATAAACCTAGAGTATAATATGTAATTATAAAATTATCCCATGTACCATACCGCAGGGTGTTGCCCAGCACCCCCAACCCACACACAACAAAACTCCCCCGATTTGAACATATTCTTCTGCTCCGCTCTAGCATCTGTCGCTTATGGTATATGAGTCATACTTAATAATTACACGGTTTAGAGAATCTACAGTTTCCGTTAATATTTCTTCCACACACCTAGAGATACCTCCAGAGTCTGGAAAAATTTTTTTTAGAAAAATTATTCCATACGGTTTGATTTTCGCCGTTCATAACAGTAAAGATGTATGATGGTGGGCATTATTCTGATTTTCTTTTTTTTAATTAACCTTAGAGATCGGACACGCATTTCTGCATTTTGTGCATGATGTGGAATAATTTTTCAACTTTTGGGCCCACCATTCTCCCTGTCCATTTCTCAACCGAACCCCACGCAAAGCTGCCGAGGCTCTCCCTTCTTTCTTCGATCTCCCTCCGACAAAAATCGCAAAATCCTTCGCCCCTCCTCTCGTCCAAATGGAGGAGCAAGGTAAGCAGTAAAACAGCACACTCACTACACTCCACTCCTCCATCTCACGGTTTGGAACGGTTCCCTCTCTGTCTTTTTCACGCTATTCCCTCTCCCATCCTCCTCTGCCCGAGAGCTGCTCTTCCATTCATAAAACCTCTCCATTTTTTCTCCCAACCAAAAACAGAAACCAAGCACTCCCTATTTCCTTCCCGCTTCACTCCCACCAACAGCCACCCACCTCACTCCCACTCCTCCCCCATCTCTCTAGCCGTCAGACATACCTTATATGTTTGTTAGGTACGACTCATATATACCAGACAAGGGCCAGATGGAAGAGCACGGTAATTTTGTAATTGCAGTAAAGGTTATATAAAGAGGAGTCGAATGAGCGAAATGGCCCACCTTAATCCACCTCGTGAAGGTATACATGTATTTCTTAAGTAAGTATGTTTTCTTAATTTCTCTTCATGTAAACGTGTTGGATGTCTAAATTACTCATTCAACTGAAATGTTTGTGTAAATTATGACAAATTATATATGTGGTTGCTTTTGATCATCTAAGTTATGCATTCTTGCATAGGCTTTATGACCTCATTCCACCTATCTAACAAAATGCTTGTGGAGAATGTGATGGATTTCATATTGCTTGAATTAAATTCCATAGGTTGATTTTTCTTGTGAATTTGCCTCATTCAATTTCATTTGTGTTGGAAAGATCATGCATATGTATCACATCAGTTATACTGCTGACATTTCTTTTCAATCATCTCTTTTGCGTTTAAAAGGCAAACAAAGGAGGGAGTTTTTAGGTACATACCACATGACTCCTATGTATTTGCATATCTAACAACTTCACTTGAGTTTCATATTGTTATAATCAAACTATCTTTGAAGATGCGTGCTTCGTTTTTTTTTTAAAGTCAATTACATTGTATTTAAGATTTGATATAAAAATTGGAATATTAAAATCTAAATTTCAGATATGCGAATGCAGAGGAATTGCGTGGTAAATACATAAATGATCTCATAGAGGCTTGGATATCCCAAAATACGATTCATTTGTGTATTATTCATTGATTCCGGAAATTTGATTGAAGTTTGACTGTTTTACGTTGGAATTTAATATAAGAATTGCACATGACATTATTCTTATGTTTTTACATATCCCTCGCAAAAAATTAAATATTTGCATGCATATCACTCAATTCTTATCCATTTGCATATCCAGCATATAAACTTCAATCTTTGCATGCATAAATTTATTAATTTAGAGGATCTTCCTGCCAAAAGTTTGCCACCAAATAGCCTCCAAATAAGCCACCAAACAGCCCCTTTAATACCACCCAAACCTATATCAAATCAACAATGAATCAGCTCTTGAATCCATTTGAAATGTTGTTGGAATCCTGCTGCTAGACAGCTCATAGAAAGCCTTAAAACTTGCTAACGCCCTGCTGAAATGCTTCATAAAATCTGCTCGAATCCTGAACAAAACTCTGTGAAACCTTACAACCAAATATCTACTCGAGGAGGAGTCGAGCATGCTAAGCTCTTGATCCGGACTGCCCTCACAAAGGTGTAAACTTAACTTAGTCAGATCTAACTTATTGGAATCTTACAAATTTCTTGCACTCATTTAAATATTGCGTACATATTAAAGTTAAAACAAAAAAGAGAAGCCTGTAGACTACAGGATACGGATTAGCGTCAGACTCAAATTCGATGCAAAATTAGTGTCCGATTTACATCCATTTAGCGTCGCACGTTGTTTTAAGATTGAAAATTTTGACACAGAAGATTTGCATCAAGCTCCGAGGATAAATCAACCCAATAGCACCAGAATAGCGTCAGAATGTTCGGACGCTAAAATTACTTAATAATGTCGGGACATTCCTTTTTTACATTAAAAAAACCATACATTTGCAAAGTAAAATTATTAAAGTTTGTTTTTTCAGTAGCATACATTTTCTAACAGATCTGCATCTTTTAGTCTCTTTTGGTGCACATATTTCTTAAAAGTCTCCCATAAATAACAAAAATAATTATGATGTCCAGTCCAAGAAAAGGCCTCTGCAACCACGGATCAAACCAGAATGCTTATCTAACACCATACAAAGATCTTGTCTTGACCTAATGCTTTCAATGGAGGAATGCAGGTTACGTAAAAATCACATCCATGAATCATTTGATTTAGACTGAACTATACAATTGAAGTGAGAATAGACTGTTATTAGCATTGATACCAATATCAATTAAGAGTATTCCTCTATGCTTTTCTAATAAAAATGTACCATTAAGACTTAACACTAGACAACAGTGGCACCAGCCTCAAAGTGATGGTTCAAAAATCCAAAACAAACTTTTAAAATGATGCTGGGGTAAAATTAATTCTATAAATAGAGTTGGTCGTTATATTTCTGATAAATTCCATAAAATGATACAAATGCTTATATTACTCTTCTCAACTACTAAATATTATTCTAATTTTATTTCACCTTACATCCGAAGTTTTCATATATATGACTCAAGCTAAATTTGGCTTCAGTATGCCCAATTATTTTGCTTAATTTTATATCTATTTGGTGACGTATGCATAGAATTATAAAATGACAAATAAATTTAGAAGTTCATTGTTTGTGATCTCTTTTGCATACTTGAATGACTACATATATGTAGACATATAATGGTTGAGACACGCCATGCATCTCTTAAAGCTTATTTTTTTGTAGCATATGAATACCACCCCTAATGTCTTATTACATAATCATGATGAGCATATGTAATTGATAATTTAGATATATTTAAAATGAATCTCTTATATTCAATATATTGCTAATGGATCATGTATTTAAGGTCTTATGTAATACAAATTTTTTTTGTAAGATCATACCAACATGCAAATTAAAAGAAACTAAACTCTTCGTGTTTTCTATATGATGGTCAAAAGGACCATCAAAATTAACATATGCATCCCACATTTGAGCATTTTGATAAAATTGAGAAAAATCATTATTAGATATAATTTGATTAAGAAATTTATTTAATGCAACATCATGTAATATGTCATTCCTTCTTAACCTGGTTGAATCTATAATGTCTAAATTATCTAAATCATTAGAATCACTTTATTTAGAGTTTGGCCAGATAAACTATCATCTGTTTTTTATATTTTTTCTCACATACTGCTCATGGATGCATATATTTGGTGAGTAACTTTTATATAGTTTAGGCTCATTAAAAAATTCTATTTGTGTGAGCATACTATATTTTGACGTGCTAGCATCAATGGGTTAGGCCTTGAAGTAGTTGGCCTGCATGTAAAAAATAATAACATTTCATTAATCTAATGCACAAATAATCTAAAATATAAAATTTTATGCTTTTACAAAATATGCACTCACATTTGAATCACACAATTAAGCTCTGTTGACTCTTGACTCATCTAATAAGACATTATTGTGATTCATGAAAACTTACTAGCTTACTCACATTTGTTGGTATATTTCCTTGAATTGATTATACTTTAACGTATATTACCAGAGAGTGCATATGTTTCTGATATTGCTGTTTCACATGAATCATAATCTGTTACATGTGTGACCATAAATCCAACACTTATTGGGAAGTGACAAATAAGATGAACATCATACTCATTAACATCAAGTTTAAATGCTGAAGAATTTGTTATTTTAACTTATCTTGATTGTCGCCCACTTACACTTGTATCACTTTATTTTTTCCACAAAATTAGGAAGGTGTGAGATCACGTGTAAACAATGCAAATTTAATTAATGAGTTTTACATAAATGTATACATGTGTTCTAGGGTAAGTTTTTCCATCCTTTGTGTTGGACATGTGATTAAAATTTTATAAAATCAATTTTAGGGTATATGCACCTCAATAAAGCTATTTTGAGGGAAGTTCTTTAACTTTTATTCTATAGAATAGTGTGTATAATCCTCTAAACTAAAATTTAAAATCATACACCACATATGCAAGACTTTCAGGGCATGTTCTTCCAATTTTATGCCTTAAGTATGAACAATCCTATAAACTTGTATTAGGACTATACGCATATATACATGTCTTTCATGGAATGCACTTCAATAATTTTTAAATGCAAACAAGTGTATAAAATCTTGCAACCTCAATTCATGGTTTTTTTTCTCTTAAAGATGGACTGCAATATTTGCAGTCCCCCCAAGCTGATAATGTGTTATTCAAGGCGAGTCTTAAACCCGAGCACCAAGGTACTTACAACACCGCTGCCAACTGAAGTGCCAACCAGTTCGGCTTTACACACCTATGATGGTTTATTTGGAGCATATTTTCTTTTATTTATGATTATTACACATGGGTATGCATTCCCTTAATAGCTACATATCACTTGATTTCAAAAATAAAACCCTCAATGATAATATCATGCAAAGAATTGTAAGCATCTCTACTAAGATATCTTGCTTTTGAATGCTCATCCAAGTATTCATATTCACTGCTACACTTTACATACAAATTTATTTTATCACGTATGCCAGATCCGCTCTGCACATACATGTAACACATGTAATATGTCTTCCTTACCATGATACTCTACTAAAGTCGATGTTAACATGATAAACATAGTCATTAATGCAATCATCCAACACAATCATTTATTAACAAACAAACATAGAAATAAGACTTAAATTTGCTAAAATCAAAATTAGTTTATATTTATAAAGTACTTAATATTCATATGGAAATTCACCTAAGAAAATTGCTAAAAAGAGAGGTTGGGAACCATTAATGGACTTGGAGGAGAAAGAAGGTTTACAAGTAGCAGTAGAAGTGCATGTAAGCCTCTTCATCGGCTTCCTCACTTCAGCTATGGGAGATAATCCCCAACTCCTGCAACTAAAAAAAAATTATAAAATTAGTCATTAAAAAGGGGATATTTGCATATGTACATAACATAATTAATTCTTATGAATTTGTATATTTAGCGCTTAAACCTCAGACTTTATAGTCTTAACAATCAAATCTTTAACATCACATCAAAGATATCATTTTGTTGATTTTTATGTAGAGATTTATAACATCAATGTGTTATAAATATAAATATCAAACTTTAATGTATACCCAAAGCTTTCTATTTACAAATCAACCACCCTATTTCCTCCATTTTTCAAAATTTCACTCAAATATCAAAATTCATGTAATGACCCAACCTGTATGTTTCATTTTTATAAAATTTTCAATAATTTGATCGTGACACGCGTAAATACTTCAGTTCAGTAGTTCAAAAAAATCACTTGGGTGGCTAATCTGAAAATATCAATCTTTCAGGTGGTCTTTATCTAACTATCCCAAAAAAATTATTAAATTTATTTCTCAAGTCTATGCTAAATGCTCTCTGCAAGAAAATGGTTGATTTTTTTATAATAATTAAAACTTTTGTTACTTTAATCTTCACTAACAAAATAATGATACCAAAACAAATAATCTATTTGAAGATTAAACTATTATAATTTGGATTTATTTCATTATTATTATTATTATTATTTAGGCCTCTAACTATGAACACCTTAAAATCATGATAAAGCCTTAAAACTAGAAAAATATTCCGTTTAGACGACCAACCACTGGCAGCCACGTCGTCTGTCCATGACGTGAATGGTGACATGACTGTCAGAGATTGATTGTCCGGATGGAAAATTCTCTAATAAAACTAAGTGTAAATGAGTGAAGTTAGAACCGTCTTAGATTTGAGCTTAAACTTACTTGATTAATCGGGATCGAGCTCAAGCTTAATCTCAATTCTATGAGTCCGAAAAAACAGGGACAACCATGAATGTGAAGTTTCACTTATTAATATATTCTCACTTGTATATAAAATTTTAAATAAAATACCTCCACAATACCCCTCATCATCTCCTCCGGCAGCCTCCGCCACTCCCAGCTGCCCACCAAACGAACCACCGGTCACTAAACCGGAATCATCAACCGCCCCGCTGCCACTCGCCGCCATCATCATCATCATCATCATCATCCTTTGCTGCTCCTGCATCCCCGCAGCCATCTCCAACCCCATCAGCTCCCCCCACGCGCGCGACAGATCGGACTTGAGCCTCTGCAGTTGATCCTCCAGCACGAGTATGATGCCCACGCAGCCGAAGACGGGATCGTGGAGCCGCATCTGGGCTTCGTAGACGAGGGATAGCACCGCGTCATCGCGCAAGTTGGGAGGCAAATCGTTGAGGAGTTTGGCGATGTTGCTGGCTCCGAAGACTCGGTGCACGTCGGCGAATTTGTGGGGTTGGTTGGAGGGGAAGTGAGGGGCGAAGATGCAGTTGGGCTGGCATTTTCTGCGCAGGAACTTGCAGCCCGCGCATGGCGGGCGCGGTTCCCTGCTCATTGCTGCCCTCTCGCCTGATGATTGAATCATTGAGCTAAATGGAAGACAAAAACATTAAGATGAATGCGAAGAATAGCATATGACAATAGATGTTGAGATGGAAAAAATATTAGTCCAGATAATTTGATGTCAGTATGACAATATTAAACACACTGTATCGTTTGCACGGTAGTGTGGTGCAATCTAAGTGATATAAAATTTTCTCATAGAAATGAAAATTAAATAGGAAAAATTTTTCTCTACAAACAATTAAAATCATATCTATTTAAAATTGTATGTCAGTGAACCCCACTTTTAATTATTTTTTTATTTTAAAAATATGATTGGAGTCCGTGCACAGCTTTGCGTACGGGCTCCGCACAAAATTTTTCCCATTAAATAGGCTTGAGAACAAATGCGGAGAGCATATAGATTGAAGTGCGGCGGAGTAGCTCACCAATGGCGAGATTGCATTAAGATCAATAAGAAGAACAGCAAACGACAATAGAAGATTTAAAAATGGAAAAAATATTACGTCTCGATAATTTGATGTCAGCATAGAAACGTTGAACGCACTATACGGTTTGCACGATGGTGCGGTGCGATCTACGCCACGTAATATTTTTTCATAGAAATGAAGATTAAATTGGATTGAAAAAGATTGCAGAGAATATATAGAATGGAGTGCGGCGGTGTAGCTCACCAGCGATGCCCACCAAACGAACCACCGGTCACTAAACCGGAATCATCAACCGCCCCGCTGCCACTCGCCGCCATCATCATCATCATCATCATCATCCTTTGCTGCTCCTGCATCCCCGCAGCCATCTCCAACCCCATCAGCTCCCCCCACGCGCGTGACAGATCGGACTTGAGCCTCTGCAGTTGATCCTCCAGCACGAGTATGATGCCCACGCAGCCGAAGACGGGATCGTGGAGCCGCATCTGGGCTTCGTAGACGAGGGATAGCACCGCGTCATCGCGCAAGTTGGGAGGCAAATCGTTGAGGAGTTTGGCGATGTTGCTGGCTCCGAAGACTCGGTGCACGTCGGCGAATTTGTGGGGTTGGTTGGAGGGGAAGTGAGGGGCGAAGATGCAGTTGGGCTGGCATTTTCTGCGCAGGAACTTGCAGCCCGCGCATGGCGGGCGCGGTTCCCTGCTCATTGCTGCCCTCTCGCCTGATGATTGAATCATTGAGCTAAATGGAAGACAAAAACATTAAGATGAATGCGAAGAATAGCATATGACAATAGATGTTGAGATGGAAAAAATATTAGTCCAGATAATTTGATGTCAGTATGACAATATTAAACACACTGTATCGTTTGCACGGTAGTGTGGTGCAATCTAAGTGATATAAAATTTTCTCATAGAAATGAAAATTAAATAGGAAAAATTTTTCTCTACAAACAATTAAAATCATATCTATTTAAAATTGTATGTCAGTGAACCCCACTTTTAATTATTTTTTTATTTTAAAAATATGATTGGAGTCCGTGCACAGCTTTGCGTACGGGCTCCGCACAAAATTTTTCCCATTAAATAGGCTTGAGAACAAATGCGGAGAGCATATAGATTGAAGTGCGGCGGAGTAGCTCACCAATGGCGAGATTGCATTAAGATCAATAAGAAGAACAGCAAACGACAATAGAAGATTTAAAAATGGAAAAAATATTACGTCTCGATAATTTGATGTCAGCATAGAAACGTTGAACGCACTATACGGTTTGCACGATGGTGCGGTGCGATCTACGCCACGTAATATTTTTTCATAGAAATGAAGATTAAATTGGATTGAAAAAGATTGCAGAGAATATATAGAATGAAGTGCGGCGGTGTAGCTCACCAGCGACGAGATTGCATTAAGATGATAGCATATGAGAATAGAAGATGTAGAAATGGAAAAAAAAATGTTACGTCCTGATAATTTGATGTCAGTATGGCAACATTGAACACATTATACTGTTTGCATGATGGTGTGGTGCGATCTAAATCACATAATATTTTCTCGTAGAAATGAAGATTGAATAGGATTGAGAACAACTGCAGAGACTATATAAAGGGCGGCGGAGGGGCTCACCGGCGGCGAGGTTGCAGAAGAATAGAATATGACAATAGAAGATGTTGAGATGGAAAAAATACAACGTCCGGATGATTTGATGTCAAATGAAGATTAAATAGGAAAAATTTCTCCCTACAATTAATTAAAATAATCTCTATCCAAAATTGTATGTCAGTGGACCCTACTGTTAATTATTTTTTTTTAATTTAAAAAATGTGATTGGAGCCCGTGCGTAGCTTTGCGTATGGGCTCCGTACAAAATTTTTCCCATTAAATAGGCTTGAGATCAAGTACCGAGAGCATATAGATTGAAGTGCGGCGGAGTAGTTCACAAATGGCGAGATTGCATTAAGATCAATAAGAAAAATAGCAAATGACTTATAAAAGATTTAAAAATGGAAAAAATATTACGATAATTTGATGTCATTATTGCAGCATTGAATGCACTATACAGTTTGCATGATGGTGTGGTGCGATCTACGCCACCTAATATTTTTCTCGTAGAAATGAAGATTAAATTGGATTGAAAAAGATTGGAGAGAATATATAGAATGAAGTGCGGCGGTGTAGCTCACCAGCGACGAGATTGCATTAAGATGATAGCATATGACAATAGAAGATGTAGACATGGAAAAAAATATTACGTCCCGATAATTTGATGTCAGTATGGCAACATTGAACACAATATACTGTTTGCATGATGGTGTGGTGCGATCTAAATCACATAATATTTTCTCGAAGAAATGAAGATTGAATAGGATTGAGAACAACTGCAGAGAATATATAGATTGAAGGGCGGCGGAGGGGCTCACCGGCGGCGAGGTTGCATTAAGAAGTGGAAATCTGAGAAGGAGATGATGGCTTATTCTAGTTTTTTTTTTACTTTGGCTGCTGTGGGGGCTGGGTGTTTGCATTTAAGGTTGTTGCACTTGGAAATAATATTACAAAAACAAATGAAATAATTACGTTGCGCTTTTGTAGCAACGATAATTGTGGAACGTTGTAACAGATCTGGTGATTGTACAAATTTCAAATTTGCAGATTTTCTATGGTTCAGTTAGTTTTTAGCAGCCGTCGAATCCTTAATTCAAAAAAAAAAGAGAAGAGGATTATTAGATAAATTGCACCCACGACATTTCTATTTACATAGCGCACAAGCGTTATTTATTTTTAAACTACGGAATGTATTTAAGTGCGTCATGATCAGGGGAAGATATTCTGTGATTGTCCGGACAACCAACTACCGATCGTCACGTCGCCTGCTGATGATGTTTATGACGAAATAGAGACCAATGGTTGGCCTGGACGGACCATCATAAAGTTGAGAATTTGATAAAAATAAAAAATATGAGTTGGATGTTTCATCATGAATTTCGTCATTTGAGTGAGAGTTTGAGAAGTAGACAAAAATGGGTGCTAGTTGTAAATAGCAATATTTGGGGTGCTATGTAGGTAAAATGCCCCCACAAATTTTGAGGATTTATATCGGTTTGATTTGCCTTTAAAATGGGTGCAATATGTAAAAAAGGCTATGCTTGATACACACGTTTTAATTTATTTATTACTTCTCAAAATAAATTTATAAATTAAAGTATTGATGTGCTCTTTTTTTTTTTTTCTTTTGTAATTGTGCAAAATGTGACAAAAAATTTTGTGGGTCCCGCAAACCATCTTATAAGAAAATTATGAGCATATGAACTGATACTATATAATTAAGAAATTTGTGAGTGTGCGGATGGAGGCTTTAGAAGAAAAAAAATGAGCATGCATGCGAATTGAAGGCTTCGAACATTTGATCAATCTTATAATAGTATTTAGATTGCAATTTGTGTTTATTGACTCATTTTAATTATTTTATTTTCTATGTTTTAGTTTTTTGTTTGTCAAAGCTTTCCACTTGTAACTTTAGATTTTATATAGCGATTTCTCCTCATCTACCTGTGATTTTTCCCATCTGGGTTCTCCATATAAAATTAATGTGTTCTTTCATTTGTTTATTTTATTACTCTTTACATTGAATCAATATCAAGTTATAACAAGTGATATCAGAGATAAGTTTTGTTCTCGACGATGATAACAATTAAGTATGACATTCCTCTTTTAGATTAAAATACTAGATTTTTACTTCGGTGGTTTAAGATGCGAGTTGTCTTAGCATAGATGAACCTAATTGATGTACTACTTGGATTTGAAATGTCACGACCGAACCTAATATAACTCATATAAACTAATATATTATATCATATCGAGTGTGCAATAGATTATTTAGCGCAAGATCTATTTAAAAGAATTTTTTTTTATCTTCTCATTTTCTTTACACAGAGCCACTAAGTCACCAATAATAGTATAAAGAAAGCTAAAGACCATTATCATTTCATTTTCCATATATACAAAAAAATTATTTACATCCAAAACATTATATACATTGATCATGATTTTCCAACAAAATATACAAATTTATCATAATCTCAAAATACATATATTAAAATACATCTCTATCACCAAGTACTATCAGCTCATCTTACTGGATTCTTACCATTCTTTAAAAACATTTAAAAACAATCAGAGTAAGTGAACAACTCAATAGGTTACACGAAACATACAATTGAAATCAAAGCACAAAAATAGATCAATATACGTGATTGATTTATTATCACGTCATATATGTTGAACAAGTAAGTATGTAAGTTGTTGAACATGCATATGTATACTATAAATATCTACACTATGGTATCAAATCAAAATAGTAACATTATTAAATTGAATATAATCAAACGAAACAATCATCACACATATAATATACAAGTTAAGTGATCTGACTAATCATACGTGATATTTTCCCTATACCAATTATAATAAGTTAGTGCAATATCATATCTTATTATGTCAGTACTTTCAAACTATCAAAATAGTCAATTAGGTGACACTGTACACGAGAGTTGTCAATCGTTGAGTTTCCACTGGTAATATAGTGGGTATAACTTTAATTGATTATAGTTATGTGTTCTGTATAACCATTTATATTTAACTCATTTAGTTTTTACCTAGTGAGTTTGCTTTTTAAAGACACTTTTTATGTCATAATTTTTATATTATTAGTTGTACGCTACACCGTGCCTAGGTTATTGTATAACCCTTACTTATTATGACATGAATCATTTTGATCATCGTGTAACTGCTAGGGCTGCCCCTGGAAGTGACGCGCTATACAGCCTGAATACAGTGAAAAGTGTGCCCGGGTTTAGTGTCAAATAAGCAAGGGTTCCCACATTACGGACGAATGTGGGTGAAGAAGTTAGTCCATGAAATTGATGAAACTAATATTAGAATATGATCTTGGAATATAGGTGCTCTCAATGGTAAATTAATGGAATTAGTTGATATTACGATTCATAGGTAAATTAATATCTTATGTATTCGAGAAACTAAATGGGTTGGAGAAAATACTAAGGAGATTGATAATTTAGGTTTTAAACTTTGGCATTCTGGTAATAGTCTCACTAGAAATTGTGTAAGTGTAATTATAAATAAGAGTTTAAAAGATAATTTTGTAAAAATTAATAGAGTTGGAGATAAAATTATAGCCCTTAAGATTATCATTGATACTAAGATTTTTAATATTATAAGTGTTTATGCTCCTCAAGTAGGTTTAGATACAAGGGTCTGAAGATAAATTTTTGAATGACTTGGAAGACTTAATACAAATGATACTTATTGAAGAAAGAATTTTTATTGGTGGAGATTTAAATAGACATGTCGGTAGAGTGGTAGAAGACTTTAAAAATGCTCATGATGGCTATAGTTTTGGAGTAACTAATGAAGAAAGTAGAGTTATTTAAAATTTTGCTTTAGCGTATGATTTTGTTATTAATAATATTTTATTCAAGAAAAGAGATGAGCATCTTATTGCTTATAAGAGTGGATCTAATAAAACATAAATTAATTATTTTCTTATGAGAAGAAGAGATCGTCGAGATTGTAATGATTGTAAAGTCATTCCTAGTGAGAATTTAAATACCCAACATCGTTTATTAGTTCTATATTTTAAGATGAAGAGTTGTAAAATAAAAAAAAAAAACTATGACTCATCATTGTAGAATTAGATGGGGAAACCTAAAAGACAAATAAAATTATTTTATGAGTAAAATTCAAGATTTCAAAATTTGGGAAGTTTATGAAGAAACAAATGTTATGTGGGATAAAGTAACAAACACTATTAAATAATTAACAAAATATGTGCTTAGAGAACTGAGAATAAAAATAGTTGGTGCTGGAATAATAATGTGCAATAAGACATAAAATATAAGAAATTATGTTATAAAAATTGGTTTAAATGTAAAAGTTTAGAGAACTGGGAAAAAATATCAAACGACTCGCAGGGAGTCTAAAAGAACAATCTGTGAGGCTAAAAATTCTGTTTTTAGTTATATTTATAATAGATTGGATACTAAGGAGGGTGAAAAATATATGTATAAACTATCCAAACAAAGAGAAAAGAAAAATAAAGATTTAACTCAAGTAAAGTGTATTAGAGATGAAAATAAAAAAATACTTTTTAAAAAAAAAAGATATTCAACAAAGGTGGGTGAGTTATTTTGATAAAATTTTTAATGAAGTTTCTGAAAAAATGATCGACCTTAGTGATCTTAATATCGTGAATAATAATAAAACGTTTCATTTTTATCGTCGCATTAGTAAAAAAAAAGTTGAGGAGGCTTTAAAGAAAACCAAGGCTGGAAAGTCTGTAGGACCTGATGAAATCCCAATTGAAGTGTGGAAATAATTAGGAGATTTGAGAGTTTCTTAGCTTACTTTTACCATCGCATTAGTAAAAAAGAAGTTGATGAGGCTTTAAGGAAAACCAAGGGTGAAAAGTCTATAGGACCTGATGAAATCCCAATTGAAGTGTGGAAATAATTAGCTAGGAAATTTGAGAGTTTCTTGACTTACTAAACTCTTTAATAATATTTTAAAAACTAAAAAGATGCCTGAGAAGTGGAGGTGACCGGTAGGTCTATCATGAAAGCTATACATTTACTAAGAGATTTGATGGAGAAGTTCAAAGAGAATAAGTTGAATCTACATATGATTTTTATTGATTTAGAAAAAGCTTACAATAGTTCCAAGAGATATCCTTTAGAGAGTTCTAGAGAAGAAATGTGTTGATATGAACTATATTCAAGTCCTGCATATGACTTATACTAGAGTTGTTACTTATGTTCAAACTGAAGGAGGATCGACCAAATATTTTCCTATTTCTGTTGGATTACATTAGGGATCGGCTTTAAGCCCATATCTTTTTGCTTTAGTTATGGATGGTTTACTGGACATCTACAAGAGAATGTACCTTGGTGTATGTTTTTTGCTGATGATATCCTTCTCATGGATAAAACGAGAGAAAAAGCCAAGAAAAACTTGAATTAAGGAGGACTACATTGGAGTCTAAAGGCCTTCAGTTAAGTAGAACTAAAATTGAATACATGGAATGTAATTTTAGTAGTAGTAGCTCTCGTGACAGAAGTGTGACTTTGGGTGATCAAATTATTAAAAGGTGTGAACGATTTAGATATCTTGGGTCATGTTTAAAGCGATGGTGATATAGAGGGGGATGTTAATAGTAGAATTCAACTTGGTTGGTTGGAGTGGAGGAATGATTAGGGCCTTTTGTGTGATAGAAAAGTGCCGCTTAGACTGAAAGGAAAATTTTATAAGACGGTGGTGAGACTTGCAATGCTCTATGGTGCTGAATGTTGGCCTTTAAGAGAGAAGCATAATAATAAGTTAACTGTTGTCGAGATGAGAATGATTAGGTTGATGAGTGGCTTTACACTTAGAGACAATGTGAAATGAATATATCTGCGATGGGGTTGGTGTAGCTCATATGACCGACAAAATTAGAGAAAGTCATCTTAGTTGGTTTGGTCACATTAAACGTCGACCATCTGTCGACCATATTAGGAGAGTAGATGTTTTAGATTCGACTTGTATTAATAAAGACAGAGGTAGACCTAGGAAGACTTGGGCTTAATGTATAAAAAATGATCTTAATTTACCAGAACTAAATAAAAATATTACACTAAATAGGACGTAATGGAGAAAAAGGATTCATGTAGCCGACCCCACGTAGTGGGATTAAAGCTATGTTATCGTTGTAGCTGTACGCAATCTAAAGAGAATTTCTAAACCCATGCGTTAGATATAATTTTTTGAGGTGTGTAAGATTAAAATTATTTTAATGATTTAACAGAATGGTTAATTTTTATTTGCATTTTGGTATATAATTAATGCTTATTATAGGGTTTAGCTGCCCTAGTAATCCTCATTTATGGAAAAATATAATCGAAATCATGCTTAGAATATGATAGTTTGAGCAATATACATATTTTACTTCTTTTACTCACATGTGATATATCTCTCAAAATTATAAAGACGTTCATAAATGAAAAGAGATTAGTTGGTGTTGAAGAGTAATTCAAAGCGGAGACAGTAGAAGAAGGATTAAACATGTTTGGTTAAAATAGTTTGTTTGATTGATTCAATTTATTTCAAATTTATATGGTATTGGGCATCTTTTTATGAATCTTGAGAAAATTCAACGAAATAGGAGACAAAAGTGCGATCAAGGATGACCCACATAAGGAAGGCTAAATGACTGACCAATAGTTGGTCATTTGGGTTTGGACCTGAAGGCTGAATGTAGATCGCGGAAGTCAAAGACCAAGATCTATCAAATCAAGAGAAGGCATCAGCCTAACCCTAGCACCAGCATCACCAACTGCCTTATAAGAGCCCCAGGATTCTTCATAAGGAGATCGAGGGTGATGCACACCAAAATCACCCCTAAAAACCTTTCTCAAGGGGGTGAGCTACCTGTCGTATTATGATGATTCATCATTTTCTCGACAACCAAGTTTCATATTGGGAACATAAGTTTCTCGCATAGGGGACAATAGTAGATAGTTAGGCCAAAGAAGTCAGCCAACTGACCTAAGCTGACTGAACGAAGTCTGAACGACCAAAGATCGACTAGAGCTGATTGATACCCCAACTCAATATAGCCAACCGACATACCTTGTTGAACTAAGGACTAACAAGCTCAGCTGACCAAACAATAGGATAGCCGAGCTAAAAGCTTCATTTGAATTGGATTGTATGTATGTAAACACGCCCTAGGCTTAGGGAATTGTTTACATACATACAATACAATGCAATCTCAAATGAAGCCTAGAGTGTGTTTACATGACATATATCCAAATTCAATACATGTGAATTGGATTGTATGCATGTAAACACACTCTAGGCTTCATTTGAGATTGCGTCGGCCTTTCGTTCTAACGCTTTGAATACTGTCATGGGAGAAGGAGATGTTTAGCGGCCGAACTTTTTTCGGAATATCTCTTTAACATGGAAGAGTAAAAACATGAAAATATTACAGTTTCAGGACAAAACAACGTGAAATTTGAAGGAACCTTGAATTCTTCTTCAAGGCCCACTGACCTGACCTCAATCCACACATTGATCTGAAATGAATTCCCCCAAAAAAAGGTTTTTTATTTGGCGCGAGACAACAACCAGCAAAAATTAAACAAAAGCTGTATGACCGCTTTGAACCCCATCAGTCTCCATCTCCCTATCACGATCCATGGGGGACGAAATCCCTCCGAGCCCTAACGCTATCATTCTCCTACCACCGCCGCCGACTCCATCCCCAACCTCGGATCCCCTCGAAAGAACTCCCAGAAATGGCCGCCTCACGCCCTTCCGCCGTCCTCCCTTGCGGTTCACCACAGAGTTCGACAGCGAAGGTCCTCTGTTCTTGCATAAGATCTCCTCCAATTTCTTCGACAACCTCGCCAAGCTTAAATTTTCTTTCCAGAACAACAGCAAGGGTGAGATCTTCAGCCCGCAGCTGGGTTTTATAACCGACAATCTGTCAGTTCTCTATGATTTTGAATCCCGGAACGCTCTGCTGAGGGGGTCGCTGAATTTGGGGAAAAATCTTCAATTACGGACCACTTATGATGTCAAGGTGTGAATCTTTCACCCATCTTGTTCTCGCCTTTTCTTTACTTAATTTAATCATAGGCTTGAGCTTGTTTATCAATGTGCGTGACAGTGAAGTGTACCTTTGCATGTAGCTGTGGAGTAGGTAAGCAAATTGAATATGGAAATCTCCATCTGTGGAAAAAGATTAGTTTTTTTTGTGAGATTGGTGTGGAGAGGGAAATAGTCAGGGATGGAAAGAGTTGTGAATCGTTGGATGAGGGAATTCAAACTGGTTGAGTGAATATTAATGCCTGATCATCTCAGGGTCGTTGGAGTACACACTTGTTTCATTAAATAAACTTGAAAGTGGGGCAAAATACAAATTTCATATAAAACCTCAGATGGGAAACACCATGAGAACTTAATCACGCATGAGCAATCAGATAAAGTGGAAACCGTGGACATTCGTACATATAAAACCCAAATGGGGAAAGTTCATAAGGTTTTGCCTGGTTGAATAATGCTCATTAGTGTGAGAGGATTATAAGGTACCTTCGTTTCTCATAATTGGAGAAAATTTCAATGCAAGGATTTTGTCAATTGAAGAACTTTCTTCATACCATACTAATATACTGTTCGTCAAAATCTTACTCAATAACCATAGTTTGTTATGAAGGGTGTCAGGTTGAATCTACTAAGGATTATAACTTTCAACAAGGGTTGTTGGGCAGAACATTGTGTTAAAACCTTAATTCATTATGTTAGAGGTCGAATTGAATCTTTCAAGGGTTAATTTACCCCTTTCAAGATGCAAAACCAACACATACAAATTTTCTTGGGGTTAAGCATAGGGTACTGCTGATAAAGTTTACTGTAGATTGGTCTCGCTTTTTATTGATCGAGATCGTGACGTTGCCTAGGACAAATATGAGGTGAAAAATAACTTTTATTATTAAGCTATTTCATATTAAAATATATACTCTTATTCCGACCATCCTCTAATTATTGCTAGTAGATGTTGATGTGGATATTTTATTTCAAGACTATCTTTAGAGGAGTGATCCATCGATGATGATCTTAGTTTTGCCCACCATTGATTGATTATCTTGTTGCTGCTTTTGTGCTTTGCCCATTAGGTTAATTTGCATGTGTCACACCAGTCTAGGAGGAATTGGCTAGGACTGGTCTGACCCAGCCAGACATGCCCGCCCAACAAAGCCGGGCCGGCCCAACAGGTTGTGGTGAAAATTCCTGGTTTTGTTTGGGAAGATTCCATCTTTCGGGTGAGACCTGTTTCATATACTGCATGAGTCGATGACAATTATCATAGTTCTATTTTTTTTTTTTTGGCAGTGATGAAAGCAAACTCCAAAGCACCTAGCTTTGATACCAATTGTGGGAAAAGTGCATGCCAGTGAGCAATGATTATCATGAGAATGAGAAAAATAATCCACAGGAAAATAAAAAGCACAATGGAGTTTTCATGGTTGGATGAAGTCCACTTACATCCATGATTGCATAGATAGATAAATGTCCACTAGTTTACAAATAACATGATACAAATATTTACACTCAAATATTTTCCTCATTTTATTTAATAATATAATAATATGATTCTCTCTATTTTCTATTCTCCACACACACACACACACACACATATATATATATATATATATATATATATATAGTTAAGAGATGGACCGCGAGATATACTTGCAATCCATCCTTGTTTAAGATATGTACATTTATTCGAGGCGAGCCTCGAACCCGGGACCCCAGGAGACTTGCACATTCTGCCAACCAATGAGCCAACCTGTCCGCACTACTCTTTACACTTACATATTGGAGAAGAATAGTGATGTTTTCCAACCATTGAATTTTGATATTTTTATAGAGAAATGTATGTGGTAGTTAAGAAAAATCAGATGTGAATAGGATAAAACATCAAAATTAAATCTTATCGAAGACTATGAGATCAAAATGGTTGATGTAAATTATATTGAACCTAAACAAAAACATAGGGTGGAATCTTACAAAGCACTTAGTCAAGTGATCATAAAGGCGCAATATTTGATATTTCTAGGCCTCTGACAGTCCCATTACTAGTCTCTATCACTCCACCGACCACTTCTCTATATCTCTGCCTCTAGACTTCGTTTATAAAGGGAATAATGATTGCTGTCTTATAACCATTAATTTCTTCATTTTTTATATAGTAACATTTGGTGGTAAGTAGTGTAAACAGGTCGAGCTGGAGTGAGCACAGGTTTGGCTCGTTAAAAAATATTTTTGTTCGTGTTCAGCTTGTTTATGTATTTAGCCCAAAAAAATTGTTTGTGTTCGGCTCATTTGCTTAGCGAGCCGAACACGAGCTGCTCGCAAACAGGGAGCCATTTTGATAGCCCTTGTCGTGCAATCGTAGGATGTTAAAGGTAGGGGTGAGATTTAAATCTTTCTATTTATATTAAAATATTCATTTAAATAGAAGTTAATATATTTTTATTCTATTTTTTTAATTAATAATTTTAATTGATTGTAAATCTTTGTAGCCTTGTAGTCAATTAAATTATTTAAAAATAAGACTCATCAATTATTTCGAGCCAAAACGAGCCAAACACGAACGAACAAATCTTTGTTCGTGTTTGGCTCGTTTATATATTGACCGCAAAAAAAAATTATTTATATTTAGTTTGTTTGCTTAGCGAATGGATCAAACATGAGCGACTTTACTAGTCGAACACGAGTTGTCCGCAAACGACAAGCCATTTTGATAGCCCTAGTATTGAGGAATTAGTTGAGAATAAGATCTTGAGTTCATCGACTGCCAATCTTAAAAAGATTAAATAAATAAAATATTATGCAAGACTTAGAAATCAAAGTAGTAGAGGAAATTACACTCCCAACCGGACAAAAAAAAAATTCCTGTAGAATCTTACAAAGCTTTTGGTAATGATTTTGCAATTATTTTTTACTTTATACTCATGGAATCATATTTAAATAAACTTTAATTTGCTTGCAGGAGCAACTAGGAGCAGGTTCAATGATTGCAACTCTGCCAAATCCTTCCGTGAAATTGGAATTGTCGTCATCCGTTCCATTGAACGGGTTGGTGAGTCACTCAGCATAGCTGTTAAAGTGGGGAATATTGATAGAATCTGGCATCTGACTTAACTTTAATGGCAGTGAAGGAATGGTCTTGTGATCTTATAATTAATTAAATTGGGTGTTTACATAGATACCACACAATTCTTATATATATACATATCTAACACCTAAACATCCATATTTACATGCATACTCCTCAAAATTTTAACATCACATCAAAAAAACCACAATCACCATCTTTTTAGAAGTAAAATACACCTTTTCATGGTGTAAATATCAAATTTTGGGTGCTAGATATGTAAATACATAAGAACTGTGTGGTATGTATGTAAATTAACAGCAAACTATGTGACTGAAGAATGTAACATTGTTGCAGCCAAGGGCAGCTTTGCATTTTCCTTATGGTGAAATTGCATTGGAGCAGAGAGAGAATATTGAGGAAAAGGATGAAGTTAGGAATGCTTTGTCAGTTGATGGTATCTTAAAAAGTCCATTGTTGAATGGAGTCTCCACTGTTGTGTACAACGGAAAAGATTTGAACCTAAGATATATTTATAAGGTGATTAGTTTGCAATTTACCTTTATTTATTTTATTAGTTTTCTTGCATGCCTATTTTTACAGCTGCATTTTCTTAATGATTTTACTTAGACTTTAGTGTTTATTATGATTTAATTAACTGGAATTCATTGTTAGGACACACATTTGACATTCATTCCAAGTTTTAGTCTACCTTCGAATAAAGCGTCATTCGCATTTAAACGGAGATTCAGCTCTACGGATAAGTTAAGGTATGCCGTCTCTTCTGTATTATCCTTCATTCTTAAGTTGTCTACTTTCCTTTAATTTTCTCTTTATTTGTTCCTCAAATGAAGCATAGGGATTTAAATCAATCAATGCACTTGGTGAAAGTGAAAAACTTGAACTCTCCTCGATTAATACTTGATCAAGCATGTTCAAATTAGTAAATATGTTTGAATATTTTTTAAGTACTCTATTGCTAAATAAACGAAACATAGATTTAGTTTGAAAAATTAGTTTATGTTAACAAAAAAACTCATTTATTGTTCAATAAATAACTTGTTAATGCTCTATAGTAAGCTCGATGATAACTTTTATCTTATATGATATATTATTTAATTAAAATATGATTAATTAGAACTTATTTAATTACATATTTAATAGTAAGATATTATAATTTAACATATGCATGTATATTAATATAATGAAATTCACTTTTTTTTAATTTCAATGAAATCATTTGATAGTACTTAGGGCTGTCAAAATTGCTCGTTGTTTGCGAATAGTTTGTGTTTTGCTTGTTAAGAAGTTCGTGTTTGATTCGTTTGCTAAGCAAATGAGTCGAACACGATCAATTTGTTTGTGCTTGATATATAAATGAGCCGAACACGAACAAAGATTTGTCTGTTCGTGTTGGGCTCATTTTAGCTCGAAATAATTATATATATATATATATATAATATATAATATATATATAATTAATGAGCAACATTTTTAAATAATTTAATTGTCTACAAGGCTACAAAGATTTATAATCAATTAAAATTGTTACTTAAAAAATAGAATAAAAAGATATTTAAGTATATTTAAATGATGTTTTAACATAAATAAAAAGATTTAAATCTCGCCCTTACCCTTAACATCTCAAGCCTGCGTGACTGGGGTTGTCAAAACGGCTATTTGTTTGCAGATAGTTTGTGTTCGACTTACTAAGTAAACAAGCTGAACATGAACAAATTTTTTGTATTCGAAATACAAACAAACCGAAAACGAATAGTGATATGTTTTAATGAGCCAGACACGAGCTAAGCCTGAGCTCGCTCATTTTCGGCTCGTTTACACCCCTAATAGTACTCATTTATATTATTTGATTGTAAGAAAGCTTACTTATACTTTTACTATTTTAATTAATTAGTGTAAACTAGCTAGATTCAATTCAAAAATTATTTGGTGGCTCATTTTGTTTAGATTTATACAATCGTTTGTTAACCATTTTATATAAAAAAACAAGTACTCATACAAATTTTTAGCTTAGAGTTATTGCAAAATTTATGCAATGCATCTATATGTGAACCTCAGGCTTATAAATCATCATAGTCTTGCTATATACACATAATTTTTTTATTTTTTGGCTCAACCACAGGTCCACAATGGCCATGTTGTTGATGCTGAAGAATTGTGGCCTTTGGGGAAGTTCACATAAATATGCCCATATGGTTAAGAAAATTGCAGTCCGTCATGTTTTTTATGTTATTTCTTATCTGGTTTTTAGCAGGACATTGTCTCATCATCCTTCTCGGACGAATCGATCTTAGCAATCCTCATAAAGATCTTTTAGAAAAATCAGCAGACTGCCCATGGCATTGCACAAAACTTAATATTGTTGCAAATAGCTTTTACACACCTGCAAATTTTTGCAGGCCTTTTTCGTTATCTTCTTACCATAATGATGCATAATGTCAGTTTAATTCTTGCAAACATTCTCCCCAAACCAATTTCTTGCTTTTTTTGTAGCCTGAGGGGAGCTCATGGATCTTAAATTGCTTCTGTTGGCTGATCTGAAATTTACATACATACCCCTAAACTTTTCTTTTACGTTTATGCCACCCAAATCTTGCACATCACAAATAATGCCACCATTTTAACTTTTAAAGAGTGAACTACACCTGTCCAAGCATGGGTAAGGTGGTTTGTATGTAGAGATTGAAGTTTAGTTGTTAGATATGTAAAATACATGACAATTGAGCGGTATATTTGTAAATCTTATTATCGTTGTTTCATTACAACCATTTGCTTCTATTTTTTTTTTTTTTTATAGTTATTGTTTTCACTTTGTTTTGGATTCGAGTGCTTGGAGCGCCGTCTATAAACACACTATTGGAAAAGACCTCAAGATTAAAGCTGGTTATGATTCGGAGGTGCGACTTGGCTGGGCTTCTCTGTGGGTAGGCTTACATTTCCCTCATCTCCAATGAAAAATTCTTGTATTTACATATCAACCATCTAAACTTTATTTCTTACATTTATACCTCCCAAATCTTTCATATCACATAAAAATACTGCCATTTTAACTTTTATAAAAAATGAAATACAGCTTTTCATGCATAAGGTTTGATGGCATGCATGTAAAAGTTGTTTAGGCATTTAGATATGTAGATGCATATGAATGGAGTGGTATGTATGTAAATCTTACTTTTTTTTAATTGAAATGTTTTCATTACCCAAAGATTGTAGATAAAGTCTATACATAATGAGGGCCAAGTCCCCCAAAAAGTCTGATTCAATGGGATCAAATTGCAAAAACAGTCTTTTCTGCCACTGAAAGAAAGTATGATTAATTAGTAGATGGTCTTGTTCTGAAATCTACAGGTTGGGCCTGAAGGTGGAAAGACGAAGGAGGCCCCGAGGAAGTTGAAAGCTCAAATGATGCTTCAAGTTCCTCAAGGCGACATCAATGGCGCCGCGCTTATGTTTAGAGTGAAGAAAAGATGGGATTTGTAGCTCCTGCCTCATGTTTTTGATATTGCTCATGTAAGTCATCAAGTTCAGCATTCTATAGAGGGCTGCAATGAGAAATTATGAAGTGATTTTGTTAGTCTATTTCCATTTAACTATTTTGGATTTTGTTTCATGAATCTCCATTGAGAACTTCATTTTTTCTCGTCATTTTTGCATTAACTCTTAGTTTTTGCTCTACGGCGCGGAATGTTGGCCTTTAAAAGAGAAGCATAATACTAAGTTAAGTGTTGTTGAGAGAATGATTAGGTGGATGAGTTACTTTACACTTAGAGACAAAATGCGAAATGAATATATTCGTGATGGGGTTGTTGTAGCTTAAGTGATGGACAAAATTAGAAAGAGTCGTCTTAGATGATTTGGTCACATTAAACATCGACCATATGATGATTTGATTAGGAGACTAGATGTTTTAGATTAAACTTGTGTTAGGCAGAGGTTGACCAAGGAAAACTTGGGCTTACTGTATAAAAAATGATCTTAATTTATTAGATTTAAATGAAAATTTGACACTAAATAGGATGCAATGGAGAAAAAGTGATTCATGTAGCCGACCCCACTTAGTGGGATTAAGGCTTTGTAGTTGTTGTATTCTCAATCTTTTCACTTTTAATTTTAGTTGCTCATGTTCTTGGTGCATGTTTTGTCTACCATTGTGCATGTCCAATCTATGCTTGTTTGGCATCAACCAAAATATATTTGTCTAATTTCTATTATGGGCTATATAAAATCATATTTTTTAAAATAAATTTAATATTTGCGTCCGTGCATTGCGTTCATTGTCACTCCGGACGCATTATTTTCTCCATTGAATTCATCACCTATTCTCGTACGAGTAGCGGCTCACCCACCCATGAGCCATTGGGGCCCATCTCCCATGGGAGAGTTAGCTCAATGTCATGTTAGTTGCTTCTAGATTGATATATTTTAGGTGTTAATAATAAAATTATAAAAATATAATATAAATAACTACAATTCTTTTTATAAGGATAGTTTTGTAATTCATTGAATCTATTTTGAATTTAATTATTTATACATTATATTCCCCTCAAAATAAATTCGACAATTTTAATAGTATCATAATTAAACTTTGATTAAAATATCATTACAAAGATTTCTTTTATAATAAATAGGCCATACACATGGTTGGGAGTGACAAAAGAAGTCCATAAGGACAACAAAAATAAATAATTTAAATTCAAGATTATAAATATAAAGTTATATATTATATAATTTATCATTTATCAGTTAAAAAAAAAAGAAAGATTTACAAACATACCCCATAATCCCTATCTATTTACTTATCTATCACCTAAGCTTCAATTTTTATGTTCATACCACTATCCATCCTTGAGAATGTATGTTTCATTATCTAAAAATTACTCATAATGATATTTTTGTTGTGTTAATAAATATTTTGGTATAAATATAAAAAAAATAAAGTTTGGTTGTTAGATGTGTAAATACATAAGAATTATGCGGTATGTTCGTAAATGCCACAAATTAGCATGCGCTGTTAACTGGTCCAATTTTGAGCCGAGTTTGGGTTGGTTCGGAATTGGCTTGAAAAAATTCGATCCAAAATTTTGACTCGTAGCTTGGCTCATTCATTAATTTCAATCTGATCTTTATCCGAGCCAAAATTTGAATAAAATTTTGAGCTTTAAGTTAAATTCGCTAAATTCACAACATTTGATTTCAAGATGAGTTATAATTGACTCAAAATTGACTCGAAAAAAATTTAATTTAAAATTTTGGCCCTTAACTCATTTATTTCAATCAGAATCAAAATTCTAACCAACTTTGGACTGCTAAATCCACGGCTTAATAAATATTTCACTATAAATATAAAAATTAATGTTTGGTTGTTAGATATGTAAATACATAAGAATTATGTTGTATGTTCGTAAAAACCACAATCGTAAATGCCACAAATTGGCATTGTCACTTAGGCATAGGGCTGTTAACTGTCCAATTTTGAGTCGAGTTTGGGTTGGTCCAAAATCAGCTCGAAAAAATTCAATCCAAAATTTTGACTCGTAGCTCGGCTCATTAATTTCAATGTGATCTTTATCCGAGCCAAAATTTGAATAAAATTTTGAGCTTTGAGCTAAATACGCTAAATTCAGAACATTCGATTCAAGATGAGTTACAATTGGCTCAAAATTAGCTCAAAAAAAATTCGATTTAAAATTTTGTGCCTTAACTCATTTATTCCGATCTGAACTAAAATTCTAACCAACTTTGGACTGCTAAATCCACGGAAAATATTAAGTCAAGAAAATTAACATAAATCTTTGTGCTGCCAAAGCCTGTGGCCATCACTGTTTCATTCCCGTATATAACAAGCTCTCTCAAAGCTCGCGTCGCCGGAGCGCCGTCCTCTTTCTCTTCTCTCTTCCTATCCTCCAGCTACTCTGCGGTCTTTGGAAGCCCTCGGTTGAACCTCCATGGGGGATGCTGGAGACATGTGTTGCCGTCGCGGAGTGTAGCGGTGATTTGTATGGCGAATCAGAGGAGAGTGAAGATGGTGGCTAAGCAGATAAGGAGGGAGCTTTCTGATATGCTGCTGACGGACAAGGTCCTCAAGTATGCGGTTCTTCCCGAGGCCTCGCTTGGTGCGGACCGCTACCTCTCCTCTCTCACCACAATCAGCGACGTTGTGGTCTCCGGAGATCTTCAGGTGCTTCTACGCCCCGCTGAGTTTTGGCCATTTTCCATATTGCTGGGTTTTGATGAATCTGCTTGCTGTGCTAGGGTTCGGTGAGTTGTCATGGATATCGATAATTTTCGAAACTTTTCCTTATGTGAGATTGGAGTGAGGCCGGTAAACTTAGTTTGTGTGCTTAGGGGCTATTTAATGCTTTTGGAAGATATCTACCTTGTAGTTTGTGGCATCTTTGAATACTAACTTTAGAAAAAAAAAGAAATTCTATTTTGCTAGCTTTTAAAAGATTCTTTTAGTACAAAATTTTATCGGGAGAAGATTAGATTTTGAGCCATTGCAAAGTCCTGATATCAACCTAGTTTTCTTCTTTGGATTGAAACCTGATCATTTTCTTGACAAGCATTTGTTGCTCCCTATTTTAATCCATCATGTGAAATTGGAGCAAGCTTAGGTTTGTGCTTGTTAACCCAGCTTGAGTTCTCATAATGGTGCACTCCTTGATGCTTATAAGAGTGGCAGGGAGCTGAAAAGTCAATCCTTGTGTGAAAGGCTCCCATGCAGGGGCGGCACTAGGTTATGTCCAAGGTTCACGGCTCTGGCCCCCCACCCCCCGAACTTTTGGATGGGCGCTTAGGAACCCCATTAGCGCTGGGGCACCATTCTTAGCATTGGGTGCCTGTATCCGAGCGTAGAGTTTCCTGGCGCTGGGATGCCTGCCCTTAGGCTCTAAGGCGCTCCAATTAATCTCCACACGCAATAGTCTCTCACTTGAAGAGGAATTGCAATCAATTCCTCTCCTCCAATCTGTACCCTTCATAGTAATAAACTGTAGTGTGTCTCAACCCTAGTCTCCTTCTCGAACTCCAACTGAAGTCAAACACAACTTCAACTTTTTAATTGTAACCATACTAATCAACATATTTATAGGATTTTGAGCTATGTATGTATTCTCCAAAGATAAGTGACCTTTTTCTAGGAGGGAATGAATTGAATGATACATTAGCTGAATGTGCTTCATTCTGATATAAAAAGCGGTGTTCTTAGCTATATAAATAGCATTTATAATGTCACTATGAAGCTTTCCAATTTCTAGCTCTCCCAAATTCTACCATAATCTCTGCAATCAAATAATCTCTTTGTTATTCTCGGTGATAGCAATGTACTCATTTTATAGAGTTGAAAGTGCAACTATCTTATGTAGCCTGAAAATTCAACTCACTGTTGTGTTCCCTAATTTGAAGACATACCATGTTGTACTTATTCTACAATTTATTGTTGAAGCACACAAAGTTTTTTTTCAGCGCTTCTTTTGTTTCAAACTTGGGAGATAGTTTCATAGATATTTTGAAGTGACTACCTAAGAGGATGCAAATTGGTTTTGCCTCACTCATATTGAATCTATGCTGGACCTTCTCAGTATATTCTGCTTGAGACAACTGCAAAGCTCATACACTCCTGTCTCTACTGATTCTCATACCAATGATCTTTTTGGTTTGGCCTAAATGCTTCAACTCAAACTCATGATAATTGTTCATTCAATTCTCTGATTTTTATTCATGTCTCATACCAAGGGAACTTTTGGATGGGCGCTTAAGCGCCCCATTAGCACGGCGGCACCATTCTTGGCATTGGGTGCCTGTGTCCAAGCATAGAGTTTTCTGGCTTTGGGGCTTGAAGGCGCCCCAATTAGTCTCCACACGCAATAATCTCTCACTTGAAGACGGATTGCAGTCGATTTCTCTCCTCCAATCTGTACCCTTCATAGTAATGAACTGCAGTGTAGCTCAACCTCTGTCTCTACCTTTCCGAACTCTAACTGATGCCAAACATAACTTCAATTTTTTAATTGTAACCACCTTAATCATCATATCTATAGGATTTTGAGCCATGTATATAGTCTCTAAAGATAACTGACCCTTTTCTAGGAGGGAATGAATTGAATGATACAATAGCTGAATATGCTTCATCCTGATATGAAAAGCGGTGTTCTTAGCTAGATGAATAGCATTCATATGTCACTATGAAGCTTTTCAATTCCTAAATCTGCCAAATCCTACCATAAATCTCTGCAATCAAATATTCTCTTTGTTATTCTCAGCAATAGCAATGTACTCATCTTATATAGTTGAAAGTGCAACTATCTTATATAGCCTGAAAACTTAACTCACTGTTGTGTTCCCCAATTTGAAGAATATCATGTTGTACTTCTTCTACAATTTATATCTCCTGTCATTTTTGAATCTATATATCCTTGTAGATTAATCATTGCACTTTTAAAACAAAGTGTCATGTTAACTATTCCTCTCAAGTAATTGAGAATTCACTTTATCACCTTTTAATGATATTTTCCTAGATTACTCATGTACATGTTTGCCACTCTCACTACATGTGCAATGTTTGTTATTTTACATAACATCACATACATCAAACTTTCAACTGTTGAAGCACACGAAGTTATTTTCATCTGTGCTTCTTTGTTTTAAACTGTGAGATAGTTCCATAGATAGTTTGAAGTCACTACCTAAGAGGATACAAACTGGTTTTGCTTCACTCATGTTGAATCTATGTTGAACTTTCTCAGTATATTCTGCTTGAGACAACTACAAAGTGCCTACACTCCTTTCTCTACTGATTCTCATACCAAGAATGGTTGGGCCTAAATGCTTCAACTCAAACCCTCATGATAATTGCTCATTTAAGTTTTTTTGTTTTTTTTTCATATATGCTTTTGAGATTAACATATCATCCACATACAATAAAAAACATGATATAGTAATTTTCAATTTTTTTGATGAAACAACAATGCTCTAACATTTCATGTACCTATTGTTTGACATAAATGTTTCAAATCTTCTCTACTATTATCATGACTTTTGTTTCAACCCATAAAGACTATTCTTTAGTTTGCAAACCATTCTTTCTTTTCCTAGAACTTTATTTTCTTGTGGCTGCAACTTGCGCTGTATAAAACTATTCTTCTAAGTCACCATACAAGAAAGTTGTCTTCACATCCATCTGTTCTAGAGGTGGGTCTCCTTTGCTACGAACCTCAACATAACTCTGATAAGTATCATCTTCACCTCCAGAGAAAATATCTCTGAGTAGTCTACTCATTTTTGCTGAAACCCCTTCATAACAAGCATTGCCTTGTAACGTTTGTTACAATCTTACCTTTTTTGTTTAGTCGGTAGATCCACTTGTTGTGTAGTGCCTTTTTGTCATATGATAGTTTTGCCTAATCTCATGTTTGATTTGACTTCAGTGATTGCATCTCATCATCCATAACAAACTCACACTCCTTTAAGTCTTTAACTTTAGTGATTTCTTCATAGCACTTTGGTCACCACTATCAGTTAACAAAACATACTAAAAAAAATGAGAATATCTCAGTTTCAATCTCGTGACTCTGCTAGACCTTCTGACTTCAATTGCGGGTGATTGGGGAGCTTCTCGTGCTTCATCAGATTGAGCACCTCTCCTTTCTCTATTTTCATGATCATCATTATCTTCTATCTCAACACATCTAGAGGAGTCTGCAGAAGTAACTGATGGACAATCTTGAGTTATGCTTCCGTCTTTATATCTTTTCATTTTATTGAAAGTAACATTATCGCTCTTAATTAATTTCTTATTTTGTTAGTCTCATAATTTGTAACAAAATTCATCCGAGTCATGCCCAATGAAAATGCACTTGATTGATTTTGAATCAAGCTTACTTTTGGATCCTGCAACAATATGAACATATGATGAACAACTAAATAACTTCAAGTTATATTGATTTACCTTCTTGTCACTCTAGACTTTGTTAGGTAAATCTTTATTGAAAATGTATTGATGGATCACAATTTATCAAATAAACTATAGTATTCACTGCTTTTGTCCATAACGTTTTTGGCAAGTATGGATGAAACTTCATACTCCTATCACATTTTGTGACAGTTCTATTCATGCGCATAACGACACCATTTTATTGTGTTATCCTGGTAACAATGAACTCATGCCTGATTCATTTTTATGCACAATAGCTCTTGAACCTCTAATCATGATATTCGTCACCATTATTTATTCTGAGACACTTTAAACTCAAATATATCTTATTCTCAATTATGATATTCCACTTCTTAAACACATTAGATACATCAGATTTATGTTTCAACCCATACCTTTTTGGTGTGATAATCGTTGAAAATTATAAAGTATTGAGAATCTCTAATATTTTGAATTAGAGTAGAACCCATACATCAGTATGCACTAACTCTAGCTCTTTGAACTTTACCTTTGACTCATTTATGGAGAATTTAACCTTCTTTTGCTTTTCATAGCCATAATCTTCACAAAAGTTTAATTATGTACAATTTAAACCATGAAAATTGTATTTAGAAAGTAGAAACTTTTTACCTTTCTCGCTCATGTGACCAAGACTGTGGTGTCAAAGGCTTACATCAATTTTTGTTCTAACTGCATCAATGGATTTCAACATTTCATTGATCAGGTAAAGAGCGCCGTTAATGCTACCCCAAGCCATCATCGTTATCGTTGCTCCTCGGGCTTCCTTCCACAAATCTCCTGTGAAAATAATCACATACCTTGACTTTGCAAGTTGGCTCACCAAGATGAAGTTTTTCTTTAAACACAGAACTTGTCTGTTGGTCAGAATTTTGTGTCGGTCGCTTTGAAAATGATTTAAATTTATTTAATTTACATATGTAATTTTGATTTTAAAAATAGTGTTTAATTTTTTAAAAATGACACCATATAGATCTCATATGTTTAATAGTTTAAGTAACTGAAAACAACACTACAAGTGATACAACACCTTGAAAGGTAAGCATATCACTTGACAACGGATTTGATTATACAAACTAGATAACTTATGACATTTGTTTAGTCTATGCACCTTTTATGTATTACCGACAAATTTTCCTACATAATATAAAGATTAGATTGGGTTTTATTTACCTGGATTCTTAGTTCTCTATATAGGCAAACCCTATAGTTAATTACATATTAGGCAATCAAAATCACCTAAGAAGACTCTCGATTAAGATCAGTGGTTGTCTTTAAGATTTTAAGTTTTAGTTTTTAAGGTTGGACACAGGAAAGTCAAAAAGGAATGGTTCAAAATAGGAACAATTATTTTAGGAGTTCAACGGAGCAAAGAAGTAAGGGATGTCACGGATTTTGTGGCAAGTTTCAGTGACTTCCCAGCTATTATAGTGTTTGGTTTTTTATCTTTGAAATGATATTATTTATTGTTTTAATTCTACAATTTATTTTAGAATTTATGACTTATATTCGCACGATATCCGATGGTGTAAATAACTAGAAAAATAGGAGGATTTACGTCATACCGAATGACATCCTCGAAATTCTAAAAGGAGTTAAGATTTCTGATGCACAACATGGTTGTGCAAAAACTTAAATATAGGGTGAGGATTTACATGCTATTAGATGAACTACCTCGAAGTTCTATGGGTTATGTTATTTATTTCTAAGGAAGGTTTCTTTTTTTAACTAGGTGTTGGTTGAATTGACAACGATAAGCTTTATGATTATACGCTATGTTGTTGTTCTAGCACTACTTTCTTCTCATTTATCTTCATGTAAGTGAAGTTATCATTAAATTAATGAGGCATTTACATACAAGCCGCACAATTCTTATGTATTTACATATCTCACACCTAAACTTTCATATTTACACATATATTACTCGAATTTTTAATATCACATCAAAGATAGACTATTACCACTAACGTGAAATACACCTTTTCATACTTAGGCTTGAACCACCAAAGTACAATGTATGTAAATATGAAAGTTTAGGTATCAGATCTGTAAATACATAAGTAGACTATTTAATTTATATATGTTTCTCATTCATTGCAGGTTGTTAAGGTTTATGTATCTGTATTTGGTGATGAAAGGGGTAAAGAGGTGGCTATTTCTGGACTAAAGGCAAAAGCTAAGTATGTCCGTAGTGAACTTGGGAAGCGGATGAAGCTACGTTTGACGCCTGAAATTCGTTTCATTCCAGATGACTCCATAGAGAGAGGGAGCAGGGTAAGTAACCTTTATTCTTAATCTTAATCATGTTATTTTTTTCTCAAAGGATGGCTTTTCGTATTTTACCCTCCTTTGATTTTAGCCGGTTATTATTCTTTATTAAGAGGCATTTACATAGATTCTCATATTTATATATTTGACACCTAAATTCTACTTTTTATATTTATACCACCTAAATCCTTCATTTCGCATCGAAGCACCACTATTTTAATCTTTAAAAGGTTAAATGCACCTTTTCATGCTTAGGTTCGGTGGCATGTAAAAATGAAAGTTTAGGTGTTAGATATGCTAATACATAAATTTGAATTGTATGTATGTAAATTTTCCTTCAATTACTTACTATGTAGTTTAATTTATACTTTTTTAATGTAAAAATTTGTCATTCCTTGGGTGGGAAAACGTAATTCTATTGGAAAATTAAATTAAATTTAATTGCTTAAGCTATGCTTTTAATTCTAGTTCTATCTCTACTGATATACATTACGTGTGGGCATGGAATTGAAATAAGCTTGATGCAAGAACATGAATGCTTTGAGAGATGAAATTGTTCGGTAAAAACTGTGTTACTATAAAATGATTTGATTGAATAATCAAAATAAACATGATTATAAAATATATATTAAAACCAACAGAATTTATTTCATAAGTGTAATAGTTTCTTTTGTATTAAATGAAGTGTGGAATTCTAGTTTATAAATTATAGCATGATTTGTTTGGGGTAATATGTAATTTTTAAAATGAAAAAGAGGTGTTTTGTAAAGTCCACTCATTATAAGAGTGCTTTCAAGGATATTTAAGATACAGACTCGAAGATATTGTTGGGCCTTCTAATGCCAGTTAAGGGTTTTTCTGTCAACAAATTTAAGAACTTTTCTTCTTTTTTTTTAAAGAACGAGTTCTATGAAAGTAGTGTTGCTCAGCTTTTTAGTGACCTTCGTATTTTAGCTTTCATAAGGCTGAATTTTTTCATGCAGTAAACTATTGGGGCATTTACATACATTCTGCACAATTCTTGTGTATTTACATATCTAACATCTATACATAACACGAATCCTTAATATCGCATAAAAAATGCCAGTACTACTAACTTTTAAAAATGAAGTACATCTTTTCATGCGTATACCAGTGTTATACATATAAATATCAAACTTCAGATGTTAAATTTGTAAATACAAATAAATTTTGTGTATGTATGTAAATTTCCTAAATTGTTTCAAAGTCGTTTAGCTATCTTGAAAAACATAAGAGGTCGACCGTAATATTAAACATCGTCAGATGTGATCTTAGTCCATCTATGAGCAACTAAGCATGGTTTAATGAGCATTGGATGAAGTTACTCTATGAATAATTTTCTTGTGTTTACTTTAGAATGCATGTGCTCGGGCTAGGGGTCTAACTGAGCCAAGCTGACTCGAGAGTCAACTTGTGCTTGGCTCGATAACTCGTTAGTGAGCTGAGCTCGATAAGCTAACAAACAAAGCTCAAGCCAGCCTTGACTAGACTCATTAGCTCGTTAGCTTGCTTGATTAAAAAATGATAATATTAAATATATTCAAAATACGTTAAAATTAAAGACTTTATTTTTAAATTATTAAAAATATTTAGCAATGTTATTTTACATTTTTATATCAAGTAATTTATTATTATTTATTTCATAATTATTCATTCAATTTATCATTTTATTGTAATATTAGCTTAAATTAATATTATTCTCTTTTTCATAATAGCAAGCCTCGTGAGTGGCTTGAACTCCTAAACTTGTGCTCGAGCTGGAACTCAAACTGGATTAATTAATCAAGCTCAAGTTCAAGCTTAGGATGACTTAAGTTCGAGTTGACTCATTTACACCCCTAGTTTGAGATGCTTTAATTCAAGCTTAGGATGACTTAAGTTCGATTTGACTCATTTACACCCCTAGTTTGAGATGCTTTAATTGAGATGGATTGTGCTCAACCTATGAGCTAGATTCAAAATGGCATGTTGAATTGGATAAGTTTGTGGGTTAGATTGAGACCGAGTTTATGGTTGTAGTTGAGACCGTTGGTGCGAAACTCAAATCCGGCCATTATCAAGACTGATATTCATTAACTCTTCTTCTAAGTTTCAGTTTTGGCATAGTAAGGTTAGGTTTTGAAGGTTACATTCTTCGAGTTGTAAAGCTTCTTTGTGAAGGATAATAGAACTTTTAATCTTTTCAATTCGGAGATAAATCGAGGAAGAATCATTAGGTGAATCATGATCTAATTTGCTTATGATTTTGTGGGCTTGCGTGAACAAAGCCGAAAGCTCTGGCCAAAATGCTTGAAAGAATCCGAGTGTGAGTGTAAGAATTGGGGAATTTTTGACAAAGGGTCATGAGTTGTATCACCAGAGAAGGAATTTGGTCATTCACGTACCCTAAAAATTTTTAGGGGCATTTAAATATCTAGCACCTAAACATTATTTTTTACATTTATATCACCCGAATCTTTCATATCAAATCAAAAGCACTACTATTTTAACTTTTAAAATGTAAAATACACATTTTTATATGCAAGTAATGTGGCGTATATGTAACAATTGAATTATAGGTGTTAGATATATAAATATATAAGAATTGAGTCAGTGTGTATGTAAATCTTCTGAATATTTAGGAACATGAGTAAATAACATCAACCACCTTGCTACTTTCATAGTGTTTGTTTCTCCATTTTGAAACTCCATTTTATTGGTGGGTGTTATCGCAAGAGTTTTGATGCATTATTTCTTGCTCAAGGGTAGCGTGAATGTATTCTCTTCCACTGTCCATCATGAATACTTATTTTTTTGTGGCATTTTACATACTATCCAATTCCCATGTATTTACATATCTATCACCTAAACTTTACTTTTTTTACATTTATGCCAATCTTTCACATCACATAATAGCTTTAAAAAGCGAAATACACCTTTTCATGCATGGATAAGGTGGCATCTATGTAAAAATTGAAGCTTAGGTGTCATATATGTAAATACATTAGTATTGAGTGGTATGCATGTAAATTTTTTTTTTTTCTTCTTGGAACTGAGTTTGAACCAATTTGTTGAAATTTTGAAATATTTATTCAACTTTTGCTTTCTCTTGCATATGATATAGCCAAATAATCTCGGTGTGATCTTTATCGAATGTCACACCATCTAGAGCCAATGATTTTAACATTATATGGTCCCCAAATGTCACTTTGAATCCAGAAAAAATATTCATACTTTCAAAAACTTATTGAGTGCGCTATGAGCCTGACCTTCGATTGTGATTACATTTCCACAACTATTTCGTTCTCGTGCAGGCTTTCAATCTATAGGTTTAGCATGAATTCCATAGTAATCATCTTTTGTATGCCCATTCTTTAGCAGTGCTCATGTCGAAGATGGGTTTTCTCGTCATGAAAGGCGCCTTGAAGACCATGAATAATACGTGCTAAACTTTCCATGGGGGATGGAGCATTCGAAGCTCCTAGCATGATTAACCAATTATCAGGCATTTACATAGCACACAATTCTTATGTATCTACATGTCTCACACCTAAAGTTTCATATTTACACTCATAGCACTCAAATAAAAATAGTACTATTGTCATTTTTTAGAAGTGAATACGCCATAGTGCTATGTAGGTAACTATCACAGTCTAGATGTGAGATATGTAAATACATAATAATTGTGTGCTAGGTATGTAAATTTACCTTTTTCTATACATTCCTCAATTTAGATCTTAGAAAAAACTTCAAGCATACTCTATAGAGACTACATGTTAAAGCATTCTTTCGTATAAATCCACCATATATTTTTTCAAGCCAAAGAAGAATTTAAAAAAATTCTCTCATTTTTACAATTTTATGATATTGCTTACCATCATCTAAGCATTTCCATTCAAACTCAAAAATATCTAGCCTTTTCCAATAAAAGTCTTCTTATTCAAATATTTTATGATAGATTTCTCACTTTTCCTTTGATCTCTAAGATAGCTTTTGTTCTCAAATCTCCATGTTTCTCGTGATATGTATCAAACGTTCATTGATGCCATTCATTATGTAGTTGACAAGCCATAACATAACCATATTGTTTTCTAGCTTTTTCGTTCAATGGGTTCGGTTGTCTTCCTTCACATCGGTAGCGAATCCTATGGGATAGTTTTCATTCTTCTCCATAAATGAAGATCATCAAACATTGTGACAACTAGATGAAATGGAAAAATTGAGTTTGTGATTAGTGATTTGGAGAAGATTGTTTTTTGGCGTGCTTGTAGTGTTGAGGACGGCTGCTTCGTTGCTGGCGGTGATGGAGAACGAACTCCCTCGTCCTGCAAACATAGATGATTATTGAAAATTGTCGAGGATTATCAAATTTGATTGTGGTTTGAGACCATCATGAAGTTTTGGAGGTTTTCAGGGAACTTTTCTTTGGAATAGTTACATACATTTCACTAAATTCCCATATATTTACATATCTAGCACAAACTTCAATTTTTACATGCATGCTACCTTGTCTATGTATGAAAATGTGTATTTCACATTTTAAAAGTCAAAATAGCGGTATTATTGATGTTTTGAAAGACTTGGGTGGTATAAATGTAAAAAAATGAATATTTGGTGTTAGATATGTAAATATATTGGAATTGTGTTGTATTTTTGTAAATGCCCCATTTTTTTTAATTTACAAATACAATGAAAACATTAATAAATCATACGTAATGTATTTCTAGAAATAGGCTTTAACTTGTTTATGTGATAATGAATAATTTCAATAACTTTTAAGAGTTGTATACCACAATTCTTATGTATTTATATATCTAACATCTAAACATACCATTGCTTGATAGTATCTTATTGGAAAGAAGGGGCATTTAAATATATACCATACAATTCTTATGTATTTATATATCTAACATCTAAACTTTGAGATTTACTTGTATAATATTTTAGAAAGATTTGCATAAATATCACTCAATTCTTATGTGTTTACTTATCTTATGCCTAAACTTCAATTTTTACATAGATACCGCTGAACCTATGCATGAAAAGTGTTGAGAAATTAGAGTGAAGAAAAACAAGAATTGACACAAATCCAGAAAAACACTAAGATTTAACGAGGTTCAGCAAAGATGCCTACGTCCTCGGATGCAGAGCGGTGGCTTTTCCATTAATCAAAAAAAAAAAGAGTATATGATACAAAATCTGGGATAACATAAGGTTACAAATATGTCTATTTATAACCCTAGAAAAAGCAGAAAATGACCTTACGTCCTCGGATGCAGAGCGGCGGCTTTTCCATTAATCCAAAAAAAATAGTATATGATACAGAATCTGGGATAACATAGGGTTACAAACATGTCTATTTATAACCCTAGAAAAAGCAGAAAATGAAACTTTGAGTACAATATATAATTATCAAAGTACCCCTGTACCACACCCCCAACCCACATAAGGAAACTCTCCCCATTTAGACAGATTTTTCCGCTCCGTTTCGTTCCAACGTCTGTCTCTTATATGGTATATGAGTCATACCATAACAAATCTTCACCTTAGCGAATATCCAGCCCTTTAGGAGAACTACATCATGGAGTTTCTTACATACTGAAGTGGGTTGGGCCACCATGTTTCTCTAGCAACTGCCTACATGATGGAGTTTCTTACATACTGAAGTGGGTTGGGCCATCATGTTTCTCTAGCAACTGCAAACACTCAACAAGTCCAAGCAATGCAAGAACTTATTGATAGTAACTGGCTTGGTCAACATATCAGCTGCATTTTCATCAGTATGAATCTTCTGCAACAGTATCTCACTAGAAGCAATCAATTCTCTGATCTTGTGATACCTGACATCAATATGCTTGATCCTCGCATGGTACACCTGGTCTTAGTCAGATAAATAACACTCTGACTGTCACAATGCAACTGAACTCCACTTTGCTCAACGCTCAGTTTCTTTACTAGCCCAGCAAACCATAAGACTTCTTTTGCAGCTTCAACTACAGTCATGTACTCAGCTTCAGTTGTAGATAATGTCACAATATACTGAATTGTTGATTTCCAACATATAGATCATCTACCAAGAGTAAACACATACCCAATTGTAGATTTTCTGCCATCCAAATCACCTGCATAGTCAGAATCAACGTACCCCACAATTGAAGGATTATTCTGCTGTCTGCCAAAAATAATTCCATGTCCTACAGTACCTTTCACATTCCTGTTTTAGATACCTGAAAATCCATTTGACTGCTTTCTAATGTCGTCTTCCTGGTTTATACATGTATTTACAGACTTGACTAACAACATGAGCTAAATCTGGACGAGTACGTACAATTGCATACATCAAACAACCAACTGCACTGACATATGAAAACTTTGTCATGTCTTCGATTTTTGTATCTGTCTTAGAACACTGTTTTGAATAAAGCTTAAAATGATTTGCCAATGAAGTGCTCACAGGCTTTGCTTTGCTCATCTCAAATATTTCCAACACTTTCTCAACATAGTTTCGTTGAGATAAATATAATCTTCTTGAGTCTATACCTCGATGGATCTCCATTCCAAGAATCTTTTTCATAGGTACCAAGTCTTTCATGTCAAATTTCCGGCTTAATAAAGTTTTCAAATCACGTACATCATTCTTATTATTTGCAGTAATTAGTATATCGTCAACATACAGTAACAAAAAAATAATAGAACCATCATCAAGGCTCTTCACATAAACACAACAATCATAATCACATCTCTTGTAGCAAATCTAAATCATGTAGGAGTCGAATTGCTTGTACCATTGTCTTGGAAACTGTTTCAATCCATACAGTGTTTTCTTTAACCTGCAAACCAAATGTTCTTGTCCAGGTTGAGTGAACCCTTTTGGTTGTTCTTATAAATCTGCTCTTCCAGATCACCATGTAAGAAAGCATTTTTAACATCTATCTGTCCAAATGCAAATCTGAAATGGCTACTAAGGCAAACACTGTCTTGATTGAAGTATGTATGACTATAGGAGAAAATTTCATCATAATCTATCCTCTTCTGCCGTGAAAATCCCGTTGCTACTAGTCGAGCCTTAAACATTTCCTCTTCTTTTTTTGATACTGCTGGTTTTCTTATGTACACCCACTTGCACCCAATAGTCTTCTTTCTTATAGGAAGCTGAACTAGCTCTCATCTGCAATTTTTCTGCAAAGACTCAACCTCCTCAACCATTGCACTCATTTATTTCTCATTCTTCTGGTTAGTGATAGCTCCTTGAAAAATGGTTGGATCATCGGTGATGATGAGAAGTATACAAGAGACCAAGTCTTCATAAACCAATCTGTTAGAGGGTCTTATATTGGTGCGTCTCTGTCTGTCTCTGGCTACATTATAATTCTGCAGATCATCTGGAATGAAATCACCAGGTGTTGGATTTGAACTTTCAACTTTCTCAGTTATTTTTGGATGCTGTTCTAAATCCATCTGCACTGCATTTGAACTGGAACTGTTCTCTGACACATTGTCTTGATTTTGTTGTAACATGGATTGTTCATCAAAAACTGCATCTCTGTTAATCACCATCTTCTTTGCAACCGGATCCCAAAACTTGTATCATTTCACACTTTTTTGTAGCCCAAAAAGATGCACTTCTTGGATTTTGCATCAAGTTTTGATCTTTCATTTCCAGGTACATGCACATAAGTTGGACAACCAAAACTCCGTAAATGGTCGAAATTAACTGGATTACCTGTCCATACCTCTTCTGTGACCTTGCCACCCAACGATGCCCGAAGTAATCTGTTGATGAGATAACATGTCATATTCACAGCCTATGCCTAGAAACTCTTAGAAAACTCTGCATTCAGTTTCAAACATTTTGTCATGTCAGTTAAGAAATTGTTCATTCTGTCTGCCACACCATACTGCTGTGGTGTCTTGCGCACTGAAAAATGTCTCTGAATCACATGCTCCTCACAGAACTTCTGAAACAGCGAATCTGTGTATTTTGTGTCATTATTCGATCTCAAATACTTGATTTTTCTGTCAGTTTGGTTCTC